TTTTTTTTTTGAGTTGGAGTCTCATTCTGTCGCCCAGACTGAAGTGCAGTGGCTGCTCCCGGTCACCCAGCCTTGACCTGCTGGGCTCCGGCGATCCTTCCGCTTCAGCCTTCCGAGTAGCTGGAATTACAGGCGCGTGCTACCATGCCCGGCTAATTTTTGGATTTTATTGTAGAGATGAGGTCTCGCCTGCCCAGGTGGGTCTCGAACCCGCGGGCTCAGGCAATCCACTCACCTCAGCCTCCCAAAGGCGCGGGATTACAGGCTGAGCCACCGAGCCCGGCTTAATGTTAAAAATTTAAGTTATCAAGACATCAAAACATTATTCCCATCTTTTGTTACTGTTAAACAGCAGTATTTCTGGATGCACATGGAGGGTCCCACCTCTGACCTCATATAAAGCATGTAGGAAATGAACAATGTAAACGTTTTCCAAAGAAAACCCCAAGCCATCAGAACAGTCAACAAAGCTTTCTTAGAAAACATTATGCAGGCATGCACAGGAAGACTTTCCCAAGAAAACTTCACTCCAAGACCGCGTGGTGTTAGCAAGAACCAAGGATTACAGTGGGCCTACAGAGGATGCTCCCTGGCCACTTAAAGAACGGGTATCTAGCCGGTCCCCGCTGCAACAGTTGGTTCTGGCTGCATCACTGTGGTCTCCACACAAGGGTGAGCCCCTGCCCAGCCCAGCAGGGAAGACTGAGGACCAGGATGAGTCGCGGCTGGGGTCACATTAAGCCATGCACTCCCAGGACTGACAGCGGGATCACCGAAGGGCCCGTCAGCATCTGCAGTGACCTCTCCACCCCTTCCCCCCATCAAAACAATCTGGTCGGTCCCTGAGACACCAAGCACTCACTCTCCCAACTCCCAGGAGCACAACACCCAAGGGATAAAGGAAGGTTTCTGCAAAGGGCGACTTGAGGACTGGCCCGGGGTGGCAAAAGGCACTTCCAGCCATGCAGCAGGCTCCAAGACAAGCCCTGCAGGACCTAAAGGCTGGCTTTAACCAGGACCGCGGGCCAGTGAGACGCACGTTCCCGGCTCCACCACTGGTCTGCTGTGGGATCCCGAAAAGTCACCTTCCCTCTCTGGGCCTATTTACTTATCTGTAAGCTTGAACTCCCAAAAAGGAGGCTTTTCTCTGCGATATCTGAGGGTTGAGTGGGTGGATGTGGAGAGACCTGTGCACCCCCAGCACCTCTCCACCCCTCCGGAAGTAGGAGGGTTTCCTGGGCAGAAAAGGGATTAGGGAAATCAACTCTGCGCTTCACGGCAACCCTCCACGGTGAGGACCGTGCCCATTTTCCAGAGAACGAGACTGAGGCCGGGACAGACTGAGGTCACCGCCTGCACGTGGCGGGGGCGAGACTCACACTCCGGAGGCCGCGGCCCCCGCAGGCCACCGGCCTCAGGCCCCGGCCTCCCAGGGTCGCGGCCCCGGCTCTCACCAGCCCCAGGAACGCGGCGAACAGGACCACGGTGGTGAACCAGCGCAGCGCGCCCC